CAGCGTAGTGTGCATTGTATATGAGTCAAAAACCAACCTCCATAAAACGCAGTGAGCCAATATTTCATGCCTGAAATTTGGGCTTGGAATGGTGCTCCCCGTTGGAATGAGTTTTATGTGGCGTGTTCAGCCTGCTTTTTTCATACCATTTAGAGTAGGAGCAGCCTGGGGAGCTGACTTCGCTGCACCTTCACCTGTAAGCCAAGGCTGCTCATTAGAGCAGCTGATGCTGGGATCTGAAGGCACGGTGCAGGGGCATGAAATCGAGCTGGATGAGCAGATTGAAGAGTCAGGGCCACGTCTGCCTTGCAGTCTTCGTGGTGGTGCATGCATGTCAGCATAAAACTTTTAATGCTGTGTCTCTGCCAGAGCACCTGAGCTCTTGGGTGAGGCACGGCATCAGCCAGAAGAGCTGCTCTGCCTCCAGACCTGCAGCACCCCACGAGTGCATCTGTTACGGAGGCTGCAGGTGGTGGGGAAGAAATACTGTATCCTACACGATTTGGCTCTGGACCACGTCTCTTGTCTGAGAAGCGATGCCTCCAAGCCCTGCAAAACACACTCGGCATCCAGATCAGGCCCTGGCACAGACCTGATGAGGTTGCTGTGAGGAGTTTTGGTGTGGCAAGGTGTGCAGCAAAGACCTGTGCTCTTTGCTCTCTGGGCTTTCTGGTGCGGAAAGGCGTGTGCCGATTGCTCTCTTGGGGCTGCCTCCGCTCCCTGTTTTATTCCCCTGCGCCCAGACCTTGCTTCTGGGTACGTAGCCAAAAGGGGCAGGTTTGGTCTTGGAAGAACAGCAGGGAAGGTGCTCTGGTGGTAGCGTACAGTTGCTTGGAGCTTCCTCCAAGTGCTCATCTTCAGGAAATGCAAAATTGTTTTAAAAGTGCTTGTTGTTTGTTGGGTTTATCCTTCCTGCTCTAATCTGTGCAAGATGTAATCACGAAGAGCTTGGACTTGTGTGTGTTTCCTTGACCTGTGAGCATGTCATTGGGCTCCATCGAGAAGAGACATGAATCCTTGGTTCTCTTTAGAAGATTTAAATGCTGTCTCAGAGGCTGGAAATGCCTGAGAGCTCGCTTGGTTGCTGAAGTTGATCCTGGAATTGCCTCACAAGTTGGCTGAATCTCAGTGACACAAACATAGATACTATCTAAAACACAGCACACTGCAAGAATACCTGCAAAGAGAGCAGGGGAAGCCTTAGTGGTGGCAGCGAGGGAGCTGGGGGGTTTCTCTTGGCAGCCCAAATGGGGGAACCTAAGCAAACCCAGGGACCGAGATCCCTCAGGATCACGCACTGCTCCGCTTTGTGTCTGCGCAGTCAGGACAAAACTCCCAACTGGTTTGGGCGAGGAAATAACTCGCTAGGCTGCAGCTTTTCCAAAAAGGACCCTGGGTCTGGGGTTGCTTGCTGGCTGAACAGTGGTTGCCCGTGCCGGGGTGCTGTGCAAGGGCATGTGGTGCCGGGTAATGGCTCCGCTCTGCAACTCGGGCAACTGGGATATTTTGGGGAGGATGTGGGCTGATCGGAGAGCATGGGGGAGTAACAGCCCTGAGCTGTTCATTCACAAGATGTTTTCTGCACTGCTGGTACAGGAAAAAAAAAAAAAAAAAAAGAATAAACTGGTCTTTGTAGGATGATGCAGGGAACTGAGAGGGCTTTAGCTGTATTCACATTTAGGTTAAACATTAACCACTTCCAGAAATTCTTTCAAAGTGCTAAAAGGCTGAATCCTGCTGTGCTGGGATGGTGCTCAGGGCACACATGGTGTGCTTCTCCCTCCTCCATGGAGAGGCCGAGCTCTCAGGGTGAGTCTCTGGGTGCACCCCGGGTCCTGCTCTCCCCTGGCCTCTGTCCCAGTGTTGTGAGGCCTTGAGAGTCCCAAAAAGAGAAAAGAACGTGTTTGACCATATTGTTTTTTGTTTCTTTTTTGGAGGTCTTAGGTTGCTGTTTGAGTAGCATGTAATAGGAACCTCTCAGTGATGTGATATTTAAAGGGCTGTCTGCCAAACGAAGCAGGTGAGAAAGTTGCCTGTGGTTTTCTGGACAAGTTCTCTGCTTTAAGAAAAAAAAAAATGTAATAAAATAAAAGCCGCTCCATAACTGCACAGTAGTTCTCATCCTTTAGGGCAGTTCAAGAACACTTTCTCAACCCTGTAGGAGAGTGGAGAGTGACTGGCTTCCCTGGGTAATGAGTACAGTAAATTAAACTATGCTTGTTGTGGGTCACTGTGGTCCCGGATCAGATTTTTTTTTTTTAATTATTTGTGGACGTGCCATAGTTTTGCACGTGCTGGCCTCTTTACAGGATGGTATGTCCAGAGCTCGCTGGGAATGGAATGAAGAAGTGTTCAGCCTCTGTGAACTGGAAAATCTCCTTGTACTATGAGTCTGCCTTTCAAGAACAATCGCTTTTAAACTTTGTTGGCCTCTTTCCTGAGGAGAAAGACCGTGCATGCCCAAAACTGACCTGAGAGTGCAAGTGGAGAAAGGTAGCTGTGTGTGCCTTCGGCAGCCGTTTCCAAGTTGTGCCTGCTGGCCTTACCGGGAGCCTGTACCCCTCACTCAGCTGCTGAGCATGCTGCTCGGCTGTTGGACCCAAACAGAACGTGGTCTCTTTACATCTAGGTTTGTAAGAATCATATAGTCTAAATATTTAATTACTAGATTACTTCCAGGAACTATTTTAAAGTAATCCATACATCCTCAAATACCCCTGCCATGCATTAGTTTTTCTGTTTAGGCACCTTTTTTTTTTTTGCCTTTTTTTTTTTCCCCCAGTGGCAATTTTCACTGTAATTGTCCCAATAAAAGCATGCACTGAATATTTGTGTTGCTTTCTGGCGCTTGAGCATTTTGAGAATGAAAGAGGGAAGGTTGTGTTAGTGGGAAGATGCATAAAGGAAACCTTTTATTTACAAGCAGTATTTTTTTTTTCCTTAATAGGTATTAAGAAAAAAAGCCATATGTGCACAGATCTTTCCTTCTTGTCCAGAGATCCTGTTGCCTCTTCTGATGGCTCCATCTCAGGGCATGGCTGGGTTCCAGGAGCTGCTGGCTTTCCTGTCAGCACCATTCAACCTATGCCCTGCGTTACTGTCCTGCACTGGTGGGCTTCCAGTAGGCGTTAGGAGTTATCTGCGGGTATTTCCAGGGTTGCTGTAAGACAAAACAAGCAGTACAGTCTAGCCGTAGCAGAATGGAGCAGTGCAAGGAGCTGCTGCAGGTTTTCTGTTGTCCTGTCTTGCTTCCACATAGGACATTCCTCCTCTTCACCTCTTCCAGCAGTACTGGTACTTTGCTGTTGGTCCTGTCCTGTCCTCCAGCTTCTTACAGCTCCTGTGCAAACTCTGCTTCTTATTCCCTCTGTGCCCTCATCTTTTCCTCCAGCTTTGATAAGATCAGGGATGGGAATCCAGGACTTGTTTCCTGGCCCAGGCAGCAGCGTGGTGCTTGGCTGTGGGTGTACCAGGGGCGATAGCTGTGCCTGTGCTACCACAAGTGAGAAAGTGTGCAGGGAAAGTCCTTTCAGACACTGCTAGAAACTTGAAGATTTCTAGTCCCTGTGACCAGAAATTCAACCTTCAACTGGTTGCTGTGGGAAGCAAGCAAGTATTCTGGACTTTGCAGCAGAGAGGCAGTATGTATCAGTGCAGATAACATGGGATCTCCCTTGGCTTCTACTCTTTTTCATATGTTGACCTGCTGTTTGGTGTAACGTAGTAAAGGCGATTTTGCTGGCAGGACTCAAGCACGAGTTGGAAGGTTTTGCATGTTGTGCTTCCTTTTCTCAGCCAGCACTGGCTGCTTGCTTGACCTGCAGCGAGCGAGTGGAGATAACTGTGTGTTTGTAAGAGCAGTACTAATCCTGGTCCATTTGTTATGTGGTGTGACTGGCTGGAAGGAGAATTTGGTGTGTGTAAGCCATCGCTCTTCGTTGCTGAGAGGCCGGTTACTAAAACATTCAATTATTTCTGCTTCTTTCCTAACAGTTCTGCTCAGACATCTATTTAGCAAAAGGTCAAAACGCCCCTTTTGCCCTCTGCAAGAGGCTATCAACATACACACACACTGGCAAATTCCCGTGCTCCTATCTGAGATGGGTTTATGTCATTTTTTTATGGTCAGACTATTCCTGCCCTGGTCTCAAAAATATGGATCTGCATTATACTGATGCATCCTGTATTTTCCTGCTGTATATGTGAATCGCAGAGCTGTTGGGGGCTGTGTATGAAAATACAAAATGTGACCAGCTGCATATGCATGGTGTTGCAGTCAGAGACCCAGGATGTGGCTGCAGACAAATAGCAAAGCTGCAGTACCACTGCAGCTGAATGTAGGGCAATCCAGAGGAAAAGATCATCTTTGTTGCGTGCTTTATGGGTTGTATTGTCAAGTATCATTTGTGTTCCTGTCAATACGTAACGAAATATCTTAAGACCGAGTAGCCTGTGGGCAAAGATAAATTTATCCTCAAGGGGAAAGTGAGGCATGATGGGGTTTTCTTCGCTGTCATTTCTGTATGCTGCTCGCCAAACCTAGAAGCTTTCCCTCTTCACGGGAGGTGCATTCTTTCTTTTTGTGCATTGTGAAGATGATCAAGGTATTACCAAAGGGACAGCATTCTCTTATCTCTTATGTTTTATTAAAAAAAAAAGCCATTCTTTTTATGCCTTACAGTTGGTGTAGGTTTCTCTGACACAGTAAGAATTAATTGTGCTCAGGATTAGGACTGTTCTTGGCTGGGAAAGAAGGAGGTGCAGCTCTGGCTGCCTTTCTCATGTTAGCATTCCCATATCGCTCAGATACTCCTCCTGTACCCGCACGTAACCAAAGCGAGCAGGTGGGTACCTAATTACCCTCAAACACCTACAGTCTCCGCACACTCACATGGTCAGTCCGGGTTTGAAGAGGAGGCATTGCCCTGCTGTTGGTGACTCTTGTGTTTTACCAGGAGGAGCAGGACTGATGGAGCTGAAGCACAGAGATAGAGAGCAGCCCCCGGCGAGTGGGCGCCGCGTCCGTGCCCTCGATCGATGCCCGGGGAGACGAGGAGGGCGGCTTGGAGAGCAGCCAGCGGGCAGCCCGGCTTCGGCACGGAGCTGAACTTCTTGCTTGCTTTCTTCCAGCTGGTTTTATTCCTGCCCCTAGCCCGGATGCAGAAATCGGAGGCAAATTGGAAGATGAGTTCTTTCAAAGCCAAAGCAAACTATGCATGAGCAGCTCCTGCGTTTTGGCTACTTGCTTTTTAATTGGGAGTTTGTCCAAGATGCCCGAAGTTCAAACAGGGATCACTGCCGTGCAGCACAAAGAAGCACAGTGTCTCTTTAGGGCTTGGATAGATAATGAGAGGACTGAGCATGCCTACTTGGCTAGTATTTTAAAATATCATCTAATTATAAATAACTGACAATAGGCAGCTCCCTGGCTCTCATGCTGTGCCCAGGAAAAGTCTGAATGAATAGGCTGCTTTTCTGTCTGCCAGGGCAATCTAGAATCACACTCTAGATCTTAAAGCCATGAGGTTGGCAGGGTTAAAGGTCTCTTTGTGGGCACCCTGAACCTAGAGAGCTCTAGCCAGACTTCCCTGACCAGGCTCCAACCATCCCACCTGGGGAGAGACGGCTTCTGCAGCAGCAAAGTTGTGCAGCTGCCTTTGGTTTCTCAATTAAAGCAACCATTTTGTTGCTGTACTTGGAAATAAATAGGAAGCCAGTGAAAGCACGTAGTGCAATGCTAAATGCTGACCTCCCACCTCTAAGTATTAAGCTTCTCCAACTAGGCAGCCGATGTTAAACAGGCACTTGGAAGTGTATCCTCCAGTGGCCCTCTCAATATTTATAGATGCTTCCGAGCAGGAGCTTTCTAGCATGAGGAGTGCTTGCCTCTAGTAAAGGAAAACCTCAGCTCTCTCAATGAGGTATTTAAAGGAGCTGCTTTGGATGGCACCGTGCTGCTCAGATGTCCCATTGCTGCCGTGCTTTGCTTTTGATCAGGTAGTGCTGTCCTTCTCTTAACCATACTGATTCAGATCGCTTGTGAAAGTTGCTGTTTGGGGTCTCAATTTCTAGATTGCCCTGATTGCAAAGCAAGTGTTTTAAATCTCCTTTCCTTTGTCAATGAGAATTAAAAAGGGAAAATAAACTAAATGTTATGTCTACGTTTAAATTCCTGTCTCCTTCTCTCTATACTAACACTAAAGTAGGCTGGAGCCTGCCTTGCATGCAGTGAAAAGTTGTTCAGCTTTTTCATTCTCAGTACTATTAACCTGTGAATGTTTTAAGTGTAGTTAAAGCGGGGTTCTCTGCTCTTAGTCTTACAGCTTCAGATTTGTGATCTTAGGTAACTTCAGAAACAGAAAACTTTCTTCCATAAGAATCTTGCTTTTTAATTAATTGGGTAATTCTCAGATCATTTTTTCCCTTCAAGTCTAAAATACAATGATAAATAGTTAGCACTATTCCACATGTTTTCGGGTATTAGAGCATTTTAAAGAATTGCTGAGGCTTTCTACAGTAGTTCATAAGTAATCAGGGTAATGGGACTGCTCTGTTGGATCAATCTTACAGCTAAATCTGTGATGCAGATACAACAAATATACAGTTACGTTTGATGTTCAGCATTAATAAGAGTAATTACGATAGTGACAGAAAGTTACTGTGTTTTGGAATGCACATGTGAAGAAATTGTTGTTCTGAGTGTTGTTTTGTTGTTATTTTTTCCCCCGTGTGGGGGTGGAGAGCAGGCTGTGTTGAAAGATGTGCTTTGGCTTGCTTGGCTGCAGTTCATAAAAAGTAAGGTTTCTTGTTCTGGGATGTTTGCTCTGAAGGCTTGAAACAAACGCAAACAAAACTCGGTGAGATCTGTGGTGTTACCCTTATTCTTTTTTTCCACTGGTTCTTTCTGAACACAAAGAAAGCACGATGCCAAGGTTCAATCTGTGGGAGTGATGAAGTCAGTGGAGCATTCCTCACCAACGGCAGTGCCACCAGCGTTCAGCTTTGTGTTTATTTGAAGTATTTGTGCTCCTCTTCCCTGCAGTAGGTCGAACAGGTTTTCTGAGACTCTCTGAGATGATGTCTCTCTGCATTTGCAGCTAGAGGAAAGCTTGTATTGGAACAAACTGGATTTTTCAGTGGATTAATCTGTCCCGTAGCCTTATAACAAGATTATGGTTTATGCTGATTTGTTGCAACAGGTACTGGTATATCTAGTTGTTCCAATAGCAAAATGCTAATCCTGAAGAAATAAATCTGTCTTCTAGCTGGCAGGCATAAAAAGAATAGGGGGATGGGAGTCTCTGCTCTCTTTTGGGGTATTAGTGGATGATAGCCTGAGTTCAGCATCAGTTGGATTGAAGCAATTTGATTGTATCTGTCTTTTGCAGAGGGATTGGAAATTGCAGAAGCAAAGCCTTATCTCCTTTCTCTTGATTGTGAAATATTTAATGGTCACCCAAAGCAGTGTTTGATCACAGTGCTGTGAGGCTGAGGGATTACAGAAACAGCAGGAAGCGCTGCGAGAAGTGGTTGGGCAGTCTGAGGGCAAGGCTGTCCTTGCCCCTCGCTTTGCAGGTAGGGTCAGTGAGGCAAACTGGATGCCCTGTTCTTGGGACACCGCCAAAGATTGTTGCAATTCAGCTGCCTGTAGCCAGCAACAGTTGTTCCAGCCAAAGCAAAACTTCCTGGGGAGCTTGTCCTAAAGCAGCAGGAAGATGCAGCGCCTGTCCTCCCACAGAGAAGCATCGCTGTGCGGTGCATGTTCACCTTGATGCTGTGTGTTGTGGTGCTTGAAGCCAGGGTTGATCCAGCATTAAGAGAGAGACAGAGAGACTTTTGTGGCCTGTTCCCAGCCGTGCTGTGTGTGCAGCCTGCCATGGACAGCTTCGGAGCTGTCTGACCTGTGCTGCAGAGGAGCGGTGTGCTGGGAGCACTGACTGAGGGCCGGGCCTTGGCCTGCTGCACTCCCTCCATGGCCTCCCTGGCAGCAAGCACAGTGTTTGAGCTTCGTGGCCTTTGCTAAAATTGGGTTTGGGATTATGGATACCAGGCACTACTTGGCATTCAGCTCATTGAGCACTTGGCTTATTTGTGCCTTGCCTGTGAAACGAACACAGGTTCCCTTCATCCACCATCCGAGGCTGAGGGAAGCATCATTGCTGGTACCGGGCCATGCTGGTCTTGTGCTGTCAGGGGAAGCCTGGAAGAGCTGCTGGAAGATGTGGATCTGTTCAGTTGACGACACTTCAAATCAGCATTGTATTTCTTTTGAGAAAGAGGGGTTTGATAGGAATTTGAATCATGACAGAAATAGTGCTTGGTCCAGGTAACAGGAACCAGCACAAATGAATGTGTTGCTGGGATGAAACAGTTGAACAGAAACATCTTCAAAACTACTCAGCAAATTAAGAAAGAAAGCTGAAAAGTGAGGTTGATTATCAACAGTCCTTGATAAAACTGCAATTTTTATTCCAGATCTCTGTGTTGCTTGCTCAGAAGGTTGTGCAGCTGGGGACAGAGACCTCTACTCCCATCCACTGTGCTCAGACACAGATGAGACCACAGTCAGGCTTCCCTAATGAATTGACCCACTTTAAATTAAAAATTTAGTATACTACACTTTATATCCCAGAGATGATTAAATGTTAATGTGTTTTTTTGTTGTTGTTGTGTGGTTTTTTCTCCACCTTGCTCCCAAAAACTACAATATTTACTCTTCTAAGTCACTGGCAGTCTGCATTAAGATTACACATGATCCACCCCCATGCACGTTGTTTTGCTTTTCTTTAAACAAAGAAGTTTATCTGATCAGCTAGATAATTCTTACTTTTTTCTTTTCTTTTTTTTTTTTTTTTTGATGTCTGTATGGAATGACAAAGTGAGACTGATAACATGGAGAGGCTTTCAAGGAAGGTGTGTTTTTGTTTTGTTTTCCCAGTAGTAGTGTTCTCTACAATTCAGTGCTCTTTTACTTTTCTTCCATTACACATTTAATGCAACAGTAACTCTTCCAAGCCTCTGTTCAGTCATAGTGACAAAAAAAGTAACATTTTCAATCCTTGTAGATTTCCTGTTCGCTACTGTTGTTAAAAGTGGAGTTCTTCATGTACCAAAATAGTTGTGAGGTTTTCTTTCATTCCTTTGTTAAGAAAAATTAGAAGGATGTGAAATTTTTCCATACAAAACCCTATTGCTGCTTCAAAATGGAAAATTCAGACGTTGTTCTCATCCTATTGAACTTTTTTTCTCTGACCTACATTTAGACAAGTTTTATTTTTGCGGAAAGAATAGCACTGGCAGGCTGAACAGCTCATTGAGATTTGACTCAGTAACCAAATACACTGCCAAAGTTAAAGCAAGCAAACCACCCTAACTTAACACTTACTGCTCTTTGACATTGAGATATGTCCCTATAGGTGTATTCCCAACAGATAGGCTAGAGTATGATGCAGCACACAGAAAACAAAATGTTTGATTTCCTTCCCCAACCCTCCTTCAAAGTTCAGATAGAAGTTATTTGCCATGAGGAGTATTTTGGTGAGCAGGTTGCATGATCTGGTATTTAAATAACTATATATGTGTATGTATATGTCATTATCCTAATTTGAATATTCAGACTTAACAAGGAGTTTCTGTTTCTTCCCCTAAATGTAAAGACCAAACTCAGCATTACAAAAGAAGAAAGCTTTAACTGTAGGAGAAGAGGCACCTGTTCCAGTAAAGTAATATGACTGAGAGTTGGGGATGAAAGAATATATGCTGTGGTAGCATTGTGGTAGGTTGCAGGTTGGATTGATCTGTCCCATGTGCTGGCACAGCTTCAGTCTGTCTGAAACTGCATGACCATCAGATGACTTCAGGTGAAGTCAGTGCTTTTGAAGCAAAGAGGACATTTGCTCACTTGTTTCGCTCCTCACCTTGATGGTCTGATGACAGCTGCCTTCAGATCGTCATGCACCACAGCACTGTAGGTATTTGGATAACCAGTAGCATGTAGTTTAGTTCGTCTTTTGAGTTGTCATGTCTCATTTCTTTTATTTTTCCTCCATTGCATGTATTTAAACCATCTTTGGAGTGGGAAGCACTGTGCTTGTGTGCTGGGAGGAGCTGCAGCTTTTACCTGCTGTGAATCTGCCAATGACTTAAAAAGAAACCAAGTTCATCTTAGGATGCTGCCTCTGTAGGAGCTATGTGACTAGCAAATATTGGCAGAAACACAAGTTGGCCTTTTCAAAAAACAAGACAACTTTTACTAGTTGACTGGCGTACAGCATTGTAGATTCTTTCTTTTGGAGTGGAAAAGCAGGGCTGGCATTTCTATTTGTGCTAGCAGGGTGACCTCCCTCTGACCTGAAACATCTCTGTGCAGAGCCATGAAGTCAATAATGGTCTCTCTCTCTCTCTCTCTCTCTCTTTTCTTTTTTTTTTTTTTTAATAACAATGGATTATAATTTCATTTTATCCTGGCTGGAGCTATGCTTTGTTTTTCCGTGGTGCTGTAGGATAAAGTTGAGGTGTATATTAACACATGGCTTCTTGTTTGGCCCTCAGCCAGGGAAGGAGTCCCTTCTGCTTGTCCAGTGCAGCAGATACCATGCAAGTAATGCTCCTCAGTGCTATAATAGCATGATAAATAAATAAGCACCTGTCTTCTTTTTTTTTTTTTTTTTTTTTTTTTTTCCAGTTTCTAATCATTCTGCTTTCTGTTAGCTTCCAATTGTGGCAAAATAAGCCTTATTTGCTAGTCTCTCATGAAATTAGCCACAGGTCTTCCTAGTGATTTCATAGAATCATTTGGATTGGAAAAGACCTCTAAGATCGTCAAGTCCTAACATTAACCACATTTCACCAGGCAGCCACCTCTTTGCTTTCCTCAAATTAACCCCTCTGTCCTAGCAATTGCTGGTACAAGCTCCAGCGGGAGACACTTGAAGCTGCTCATTTGCGTGTCTTTTTGTAGTTACCTGGCTGAGCACCCACTGAAGTGATTTTTAATG